AGATAACATTGTGAACTGGCTCAGAGAGAGGAACGTAGACCAGACCCTGCAGGCCATTGGAGGGGACAGCACCAACACGAACACAGGGTGGCAAGGGGGGGTCATACAGTGGATAGAGCGGAAGATTGGGAGGAAGCTGGTCTGGATTGTTTGTGACCTCCACACCAACGAGTTGCCACTCAGACATCTAATCCAGGAGCTGGATGGCAAGACTCTTTCAAACAACAGATGGTCTGGTCCTCTTGGCAAGATGCTGGACTCTGCCACTGAGTTAAAAATAAATCCGAGCTTTGAAAAAATCACAGTTGGCCCTCCACTCGTTGAGCTTGCACATACTGTCACTGACGACCTGAGTACTGACCAGTACTATGGTTACATGATTTGCAGTGCCATCAAAACTGGGGTCATGCCTGATAGACTTGCTTACCTGCAGATAGGTCCAGTCTCACATTCTAGGTGGCTCACAACGGCTCTCAGGTTCTGCAGAATTTGGGTCGCTCATCATAAACTGAAAAGGAACCAGCTTCACAACCTGAGACTTATTGTCCAATTCATCGTGAGTGTCTACTTGCCAAATTGGTTCAACACCAAGGTCAAGTCATTGTTCTCCGAAGGTCCGAGGCATGTTCTCTTCCAGCTTGAGCTCCTGAGGAGTCAGCCAAGGAAGGTTGTTCAGATTGTGGAGCAGACTGTGAGGAGATCTTCCTGGTATGCTCATCCCGAGGCAGTTCTGCAGACAATGCTCTGCAGTAAGGATGAGGAGGAGAGAAGAGTGGCAGTCAAAAAGATCTTGGATATGAGACTTATGAGAGGATCTGGGCATGCCGAATCAGTTGGTGGCTTGATTCCTTCCAGGGTCAGGAAGACTCCTGAAGTCAATCTAGGTGCCAAGACCCTCACTGATCTCATAGATCTGGATAACATCCAGGCTGGCAGTGAGCCCCCTCTTACCTGCAGCCTCACCAATGTTCAAGTCAGAGCTTTTCTGGACAACCCCATGCATGTCCCTGCCTGGCCCTCGCACACCCAGAGTATAGAGCGTTGTGTACAGCAAGTGAGCGAGGCCAGCAGTCACGTGTACAGCCAGGAGAGGAGGGAAGGCTACATCCGAGCTCAGGTGGTCAGCAGGGAGGTGATGAGTAGAAACAGAAGCAAGAAAGACATGTTCTCTATGGTGTGCAGCAACACCGGGTCGTAGTAGTAAAACCGGTTTTTGTATTTGATGATTTTGTTTTCTAAAGGAATATTAAATTTAATAAATGTGTCAAGATCATTCGTTTCACTATTCTGGATCATTTTCATCCTAATAAATTAACCTGATACATTTACTTTACTTTAAATAAGCTATTTAGTGGTGTTGGTAAAAGGGTGGGAATACTGAATTTTCATAAGATTTCAAGTTAAAATTTACCTAGCAAAAAATGAAAACTTTTCAAATCTGAAGATATCACATGATTCTGCACATAGAACTACATCATTAATACCATGGGCCGATTTTTCAAACTCAAAAAAAAAACATTCGCCTCCTTATGACACACCCTACCGTTATAGTACCTCCTTCTTTCCTCACACAGTCAAACTGTGGAATGCTCTGCCTTCTTCTGTGTTTCCATGCTCTTACAATCTCTGTCACTTTAAAAAGCTGGTTTTCCGGCATCTTCGTGGTGTAGATTAATACAGTACAGTATAACCTTTTTTTTTTCTATATTTACAATTTCTTTCCTTTTTTTTTTTTTGCCCCCCAGGCTCCGTTGTGGGTCATTTGACCTGTGCCCGGGTGGGCTAATTCCCGTAAAAAAAAAAAAAAATCAGGCCCTGGTGATGTATCTCAAGTGAGTGAGAGGGCAGTTCTCATCTCTTTCCTTGAGAACATGATGTTGTGTGTCTTGTTTTGTCCCACTCCAAAATCCAGGGCCCGTGACTCCTCTACTCTACACACCCTCATAAGCTCTGAGGAATGAGCTGCCATAGAAGACACCCCTGCAAACACTGTGGCAAAAATCTCAACAACTGATATCCTGGACCAGCTGTCACTATCACAAGTTGTGAACTTTCCCACACACAGTCAAAATACCCTTGAACTTATCTTAACCGACTTAGCGGACCAGTACCATCCACCTCAACCAATGCCTCCTATCAGGTGTAGCACACACCTATCAGTGCTCTAGTCCCCAGCTGCCACTCCCACTCAAGTACAGAGACCCTACATCAAGACCTACAGGCCGATTACTGACTCTGCAGTGTGTCTCTTTGGGCAGTGGATAGTTCACCATCCCTGGACTGAAGTACTTAACATGGATGACGTGGACACCAAATGGATAAATTATACCAACACCACCACGGAAGCTCACCACCACTTCTCCCCCGAGATGTCCGTCAGATCACACCCAGCTGACTTGCCCTGGATCACAACTCAGATCAAAAGACTTATGCAACAGAGAGACAGAGACTTTTATCTCAATGACCACAACCGCTATACGTCCCTTAGCAACCAAGTCATCTGCGAAATATGCACCGCAAAGAAGTCCCACTACCCAACCAAATTGCAACACCTGAAGCAGACCAACAACAGTCAGTGGTATGGTAAGCTTAAAGAACTCTGTGGACTAAACAATAAGACACACCCCCCTCCCCTTCCTTAGCCATCTCACTAATGTTGACGCAACTGATCAATCAATGCTCCATCATCAATGCTTCCCTCAGCCAAGCCAGATGCCCAGCTGACTGGAAGACCTCATATGTGTCACCAGTGCCCAAGTCAACCAGCTCACAGTCCTTATACTGTATGAGCTACGACCCATTGCAATCACCCCAATACCCAGCTTAATCAGTGAAAGTTTCCTGTTTGACTGGGCTCATGCTGATATTGCAGGCGCCATAGATCCTCAGCAATTTGGCAATATGAAAACTTCCTCCACCACTCACTGTCTTGTCAGCTTTCTCGACTACATACAGTATACCGCCATCTGGAGAAACGAAAGACGGCTGTGGCTGTTGCCTTCATTGACTTCACCAAGGCATTTGACCTAGTCGACTACAATTTAATCAACAAAGCTATCGGCCTCGGGTTTCGGAGAAGTCTTATATCATGGATTACAGGCTTCCTTAGTAACAGACGCCAAGCCATACGCTTCCGAGGGGTTGTTTCCACTTTTCAGTCACTCACCGGTGGCATCCCCCAAGGCACCAAGATGGGACCACTATGCTTCCTTATGCTTATCAATGATGCCCTAAAAGAAACCCCTGCTCGCTGGAAATATGTTGACGACTCCACCATTGGGATGTGTCAACAATTCTGCTCCTGACTATACCGCCCTTCAGGATTTATTGAACAGTCTCCAAAATTGGGCCACCACCAACAACGTCACCATCAACCGTACCAAGACCATGGTTATGCACATCAACCTCTCCTCTGACATTGACCCACCCCCTTCCATTACTTTAGGCCCCAATACACACCAAGTTGTAGACTCCACTAAGCTCCTCGGTGTCACCATAGATAACAAACTAAATTGAAAAACACACATCAGTACAATTGTCAAATCCTCCAGCTTCCATCTCCACCTCCTCCGCCGACTCAAGTCCCTCAGAGTTTCTGCGCCCGAGCTCCTCAGTGTTTACTCAACATTCATACTTCCCAAGCTCACCTATGTCTCCCCTGACTGGTCTTCCTTCCTAAATGCCACACAACCAAAACACCTAGAAAAAGTGTTGAAGAGTGCATGCAAGATTATTCTCTCCCCTTCCTACTCCACATATCAAGAAGCACTCAACACACTGACCCTCTCGACTCTCTCTGACCATCACCACGACCTCATCTGCAAATTTGGTGAGAAACTTCTGCACCATCCTCGACACCAGCTCCTACTACCACCCAAGATCCCTTGTCCGAGAATTGCTGTTTGACACCACAACCGCATCCAGCCCATACGAGCACGAACTGATCGCTATAAGAACAGCTCAGTCCCAACCATTGTAAAAATTATCAGCAACTTGTAATCCACCAGCTAATCTTACCTTTTTGCACTGTCACTATGTTGAAATGCCCTGTAGTAAGACCTTCTCCCCACCTAGTTATTATATATCATATTTGTATCACTTATGTTACTTGTATATTATTGGTCAATTAAGTGACCTATTCCCCAATTATGTAACTGTATATTTTTAGCCTTCTGGCTGCCATGCTCTTTCAATAAACCGTTAATTATTTATGTTAAGCATGCGCGCATGCATATGCAAGCAGCACACACACACACACACACACACACACACACACACACACACACACACACACACACACACACACACACACACACACACACACACACACACTTGTCAACCACCAGCAGAGACAAGACGTGCCCTGAAGCAGCTCCCAGTTTGAGCAGCCAAGTCTGTTTGCCCCCCCCCCTCCTGCTATATCCCAACGCCCTACCAGCCTTACTACACCGGGATTTATTCAGCAAAACATTCAAGTGATCAGTGAACGATTGACTACCAAACAGTGTTCCTATAGTGCACTCCATGGAAAAGCACAAACACACAGTAGTGTAATACTGAGTGTGGCTGGATCTGACCTAACCTGACCTGACCTCACGGCTTCACCTGACCTAACCTGAAGGATGGAGCACACCTGCATTGCCCCAAGCTACTGTCCTGGCAATGTGGACACACACCTGCCCAACCGCATCCAGCCCATACGAGCACGAACTGATTGTTATAAGAACAGCCCAGTCCCAACCATTGTAAAAGTTATCAACACCTAATTATTATACTATATCATATTTGTATCACCTATGTTACTTGCATATCATTTGTAAATCAAGAGACCCATTCCCCAATTATGTAATTTTATATTTTCAGCCTTCAGACTGCCATGCTCTTTCAATAAACCGTTCATTATTATTATTATTATTTTTATTATTATTATTATTATTATTATTACACACACAGTTTGTGACAAGCGAACTAGTTAGTAAAGTTAGTAAAATATCACTCACCTCTTCCGAATCTTTATCATCTCCCTCGTCACTGGACCACACCCAGTCACCAGTCTGTGTTCGATGTAGGCGACCAGAAGCCCCAGGTTGCCGACTTCGACTCTGCTGCGGAGAAAACAGTTTTGTTACTGTTATAAAGTTGAGAGCAAGAGGGGTATACTGTGGAGTGGGGATCATCCACCAGCAGAACACACACACAAGTACAGGCATTTATCGATTCACCAAGGCTATGTTTACAAAAGTTTTGATTTACGAAGTTTTTTCTTCACTAATGGAACTCTTTTGTAAATCAAGGATGGCTTGTACAGTGACTTCCCCTACTCCTGTCTTCCCATAGCCCTCCTACCCCTGCCTTCCCCTGGCCCTCCTTGTAATAGCCCCTGCTCTAACACAGTAACATTTATATTAATATGAAAAGACATTGAGCAACACATTGTGTTCTCCACACAAGAGTACCACTATTCCACCTGCTCCAATGCTACAATATCCTGCACCAGAACGTCCGTTCAACTAGCTGTGGATCACTTCTCCAGATTTGTAATTTTAGCCCCTGTGCAGGATAAATATGCCGAGGCAGTAGCTCACGCTCTAGTGATGCATCTGATATGCCCATTCACCACATCTAAGGTTCTTCTATCCGACAACAGATCAGAGTTTAAAAATCAACTTTTTGCACAAATTTACCTGCAATAAAGCATCCAACAGATTCATCACAGCTTATCAACCACAGGTGAATGGGCTGGTTGAAAGAACCAATTGTAAAATCCCTGAGATTCTTCGACATACTGTATCATGAATCCAATGCACATGGCATGGTTAGATTGGTTACCTCCAGTTACAGCCTCGATTAATGGGTCAATCAATAGCTCCACGGGCCAATCACCCTACTACATCATTTATGGCACAGATAAACGTTTGCCCTATGATGTACAGTCGACCCTCGTTAAAACGGGCTAATAGGGGGGGGGATGGTGTCCGTTTTAGCCGATTGTCCGAATTAACCGATTTAGGGGTTAATATTGCATAATATTGCATTATACAGTCATGCGCCGGTTAATGTCCTAGATACGTGCTTGTGTTTGTACAACCGCTCTCATTCAGACCCACTAAAGATATAATGTTATGGTAATTATCAGAGACACACATAAGCATGACTAGGTTTATTACAAAGTGATGAAAAGGATACTGTACAGTGGGTAGTCCACAAAACATGTAGCAATGTGTATGTTTATTTGAGTGCCCCGTCATAGGAGTCCGTTTTCTCTCGCTTCAGGATGCCTGAGTCCTCCGTTTTCTCTTAATCTTAGAGTGCAGTGCACCAGAGACTTCGTTATTCCTTAGTAATGACACAGAATTTGAAATTGCAACCCCAATTGCAGCTGGGACAATCCCAGAACCAGAAATTTCATACGGACAGTTCAGATTTCGTCCGATTTATCCGAAATCCGGATTAAAGGGGTCTGAATTAACGAGGGTCGACTGTAATTACAATAAGATTTCAACCTGTATACAACAACATGGTTGATTACGCTAAAAACCAAATCAGCTTCTTCACAGACATCCACGGCAAGGTACGGACACATTTAACAGCAATACACATTGAAATGATTTAAGAGCAACATCAAAAAGCTAAATTTACAATGCTGTCATGTTGAGAAAATCTGAACAGATCTCCAAATTTGTGCCCAAATTTTCAGGTCCATTACTAATTACGTACAGTACTACCAAATAAACGGCCAACAAGTTTAAAAAAAATAAACTCAACACGCAAATTACAGACATTGTATATGTGGACAGACTTAACCCTTTGGCTTCAGGTCACATCATCTGACATGCATCTGTAGAGCTTCGGGTCATGTCACATGATGATTTGTAATTTTGCAGGCCGATTTGAATAAGAAAAGTGCCAAACTAACTCAAAATTATGGGATAAACTCTCCTCTTCCGCTGGCGTTAGGAAGACGTCCTTTGTTACCACCCACAGTCATATCCCCGCTAGCCGGAACAATTGGTGCAGAGCACTTCCGGGGATGAGAGATTTCCAGCTAACCACACACCTTTTGAAAACCTGGAAAAATTCCTTATCCTCGGAATCTTTTCCGGTTACTGGGAAAAGTTTCTGAGTGTTTAAACTAGACATCTTGCACAGACACACACTGGCCCACTTACCAAGAATGTTTCTGGGTGCTGGGGATGTTTTCCTTGAGTTTAAACTACCGGAGTCCATAAATAAAGTTCTAATTAACTTACAAACTCCATTTCTTTATTATTATAATCCAGAATAGTTTATCTAAAAGTTTGGTTAAATAAATATATTTAAAAATTAAAAATCTATATGATATGGGCATGAATGAAGCTGTGTGTTACAGCAAAGTCTGTTATTTTCCACTCCCATGGAGCTGTGGGGGATTAGTGGGTCTTGTGTACCTGACCTGACACAATGTTAGGTAGAGGTAGGGTGGGATTAGCGGTCTCATATTACTGACCTTCTGATGGTATGTCAGGTCACCCTTTCTTGGGTGGGGGATTAGTGGGTCTCATGACCTGAAGATGTCTTGAATAAACTTGTGTAGTGTGTATACAACCTACCACCACACATACTTGTGTACAGTGTGTACACCTACCACCACACATACTTGTGTACTGTGTACACCTACCACCACACATACTTGTGTACAGTGTGTACACCTACCACCACACATACTTGTGTACAGTGTGTACATCTACCACCACACATACTTGTGTACTGTGTACACCTACCACCACACATACTTGTGTACAGTGTGTACACCTACCACCACACTGTAATGGGCCCCTGTCTCATCAACAGAACATATTATATAAATGGGACAATACATCTGATATTATATTCAGATTCACCACCCTGTAACTTTCCACTGTCTATGAGTAAGACATGAGTTGGACACATGAGCGGGCAACTCTCCCAGGAGGAAGAGTCCCATAGTCAGCATTTCTGTAAGCCTGCACAGCGAGGCCCTTAAGCTTCAGTCGCTCACATCAACTTATATCGTAAGGACGTGACTTAACATTTATAATACATAAACGCCCTTTCTCATTCACTCCTAAACAGTGGAACTTACGGTCGATCTATCACTCAGGAATTATATATACAACCCTTTTATAATAAAACAAAGGAACTACCGTTTGGGTTTCGTTACTTAAACCCAAATAATAAATATATGTGAACGGCCTGGTTAATTGCACAAGCAGCCGATTCATATAGGTGGCAAGCAGTGTGTACGGATTCTTCAAACTGGTAGTCGTATCATCCGTCTGTGTTTTTGTGAAAAACACAAAATACACAGCAGTGACGCGTTACATAATCCGAGTGTTTAAAACTATATCCCGTATTGAGACGATATTTAGTGAGTGCTCCTTATCTCTGTCACATACAAATACGTGCAGAATTCGTAATATACATATATTACAGCCTGTTGGTAATTATCCAGATTGTGCCGGTTGAAGTAGACCCCACTCAGCATTTTCTAGTTACAGTGTTGCAGTGTTGAAGAAAGGTTTCATAACCTGGACTAACAATTGGTATTTCACTAGCAGCTGAACAGTTTTGTTGTGTCGCCAGCGTTAATTACGAAGTTCCGGTGTCATCATACAAGATCTCCATATATACGTAGACTGTGAAGACTTGGCACACGGCAGTCTCGCTAGCGACCCAGCAACGACCAGAGTGATAACCAATCATCAGCAGTTTCTGATCGCCGGTGGAGAAACTCCCCTAGTTTGCAGTGGACTCGTCTCTCGCCAAGGCAGAAGCGTCTCATCGTTGCCAAGGAAACCAGGAGCAGCGCGCGCATCACTAGGAAGAGGCCCCGCCCACACTCCACCCACTCGACTCAGAACTCGGCTTGAAGGATCACATTTTCTATACAGACGTAATACCCTGTATAAATAGGTATTTAAATTACATAATTTTACGCACATGAAAACGTTCGAGAGATATCTTCGCCACCGATAGGTTCGTTGGATAGGATAATTTCAATGATAAAGTGTCGAATGTAAGATTAATGTCTTGAAATCCTATAATTTACAGTGGTTTGTAAGTGTCTGTCTTCTTATTGATAGTTTAATAATTAACTACAATTCATATTCATTTGTCTTGTAAATGAGAGGCAAGTGATCTGTTACTGTTAAGTATTCATTGACCCACGAGGGACTAATAGATAATTTCTAAGTTTCCCATGTCTAATGTTGATGACATTGAACGCCTAGCGCAACTGTTTGGTTTTAACCAACTCGTCGATGATCAAGCCCAGACTGACATTGATTTTGAGTCGGGATCACAGTTAAATGAGTCGGTAGGAAGTAGTGAGAAAGTTATAGACGAATCATTTGACGACTTAAACCGTCGTACCCTACGGTCTGGTAATCACTATAGTACCTCACCTAAGTACACAAAAGCAGTTACCCCTGTTACAGGTGATAGTGTGTCTGTTGCTAAATCGGTAACAACCTTATTAACCCAGCCTTCTGTTAAGAGTCAGAATACTAACTTGCTTAATACTAACACTACAATGGCGTCCTCTAACCCTCACACCAGTACTACTACCACACCTAAATCTGATAATGTTATTAATATCATGTAGCGCGGCGACTATGTTCGAAATTTCACGGGACAAGATGATTATAGGGTCGCACATTTTATTCGTGCATGTGAAGATAGCATGCGCACTAGTCACATAACGACTGACGAAGAAAAAAAGCATTTGTACGTTCCCATATAACGCAGGGTTCCTATGCCGGCAGTCGTTTGAATGCGTTTGGTTTGCAAAGCCCTGACTATGAAAAGTTTAAGCGAACGTTAATTGGGATTTTTGGGGGTAGGTCACAGCTGGGCCAGCTGCAATGGATATTCAGATGGTTGGATCGCTGTACTCCAGGTATACGCAATGAAACGCCTGTCGACGCTGTCGACATTGCAGGCGAGGTTCGCCAGGATATGCAAGCGACCTTCCGGTCCTCAGACTGGTACAACGCATGTGGAAACATTGATTGAACTAATAAGTTTTCTCCTTTCCGTCCGTCGTCCCTTATACAGCCGGGCACAGGAAGTACAGTATGAACCACCCTTGGACATGGTGGAATACGCAAACAAGCTCTGTCCCCTTACTGGCGCAGCCCTCAGTGACGTCACCGCAACCCCAGCTGCCTCAGATGGCGCAGATGCCTCACTCCGAGACTCCTTATGCGACACAGCTAGCTTCGATTGCTCCTCCCCGCCTGACATAAACAGAAAACATCTTTACGATGCGCACATTGTAATAAACGTGGCCATGTAATGGAAGGTTGTTTTCAGCTCCGAGGTAATAGTGCACATTTTAAGGCCACACCCGGTGCAAAGCCATTCTCAAGGTCAAACAGTGAGGGAGCCAAACCAGCACCTCCTCTTAACCAGAAAGCGTGCAAATGGTGCGCTCTTCACAAATCGACATCTCATAGTTCACATGAGTGCGATGTGCTAATAAGGGCTAGGGGAGTGGACCTTAGTGAAACGGAGGTGTCGTATAGGCGCAAGCAGAAACGTCCCCAGGACAAGTCGTCGGGGGAAGACCAGCGCACACCACAACAAGGAGAGGGATAGATAGGGTAATTCCCGCCCCTCCTCACAGCACTTCTATAGCGGCCTCGTTAGTAGCGGCGCTTAGCAAAGTGGAAGTGTTGTCAGTGCCGGTGAGAGTGGATAATACCAGATTGGCTCTTGATATAGACACAGGTGCTTGCGCTAATGTATTGGCCTTGACATCATATCACGAGTTACAACGTAAATTCCCTCACCGCAACTTCAAATGGAGGCCTAGTAACGCTGAGCTCGAAGGAGTTTCAGGTACTCAGCTGAGCATCAAAGGAATGGTGACGTTACCACTCAGATTCTCAAGACGTGGTTCTCCCTTCTACGCGGACTTCTATATAGTCCAGCAG